TAGTCATTATATAATAATATCATTTATAATTATTCAATTCATTTTATGTAATATATAAATTTTTCTTATAATTATATATTTGCTTTGTATTTATTTATGATAAATACTATTATATATACATAAGTAGAATAAAAAACTATTCTATAATTAATAAATTTGTAAATATGATAAACTACTTATTTGTTTTTTAATTTATATATGATAAATACAAATATATATACATAAGTGTAATATAAAACTACATCATAAAAAATTTATAAATTATTAAGTGATAAATTACATATATATTTATATTTTACACATAATAAATAAATAAATAAAAAATTAAATAAACAGTAAATCTACAAATACATACTATATTAAATAATTACACAGAAATTATAATATATATGTGTATATATATAGACCCTTTTTCTGTTAGTAAACATTGTGAGGTTTTTCTGTGGGCGGAGAAGAAAGCTTAGGTGGAGGCAGAAAGAGTCCCCTGACAGCTTCACTAACGCTAGCTATGAAGATTGTTAGCTTGTTTTTTTAACAGTGACCGGAGAAAATCCTGCATATGTAAGGTCACTCATTGTCCGGGACCGCGATTGTTATTTGAAAAGGTTAACTTTAACGGACGAAACCAGATTGGCTGTCGCTACTCAAAGGACATGTATAAACATGCATAGTAAAGAGAAACTCACCGTGTCTATCTTGTCATGAAGATGTGTATATATTTCAATTTCAGCAGGCAACTATTTTTACAGCTACAAGAGCGTGAACTGGGCCAAAATACAAAAAAAAAATCAGTGTGATGGATATATTATTTGAAGATGTATGTATCACGTAATGGCCAAATAGTTAAAGTATATACCTCCTGTAAATGATGCAAGTTTACAGTGACATTACAGTACCTTTACATACCTTTAAATTAAGATGTGAAAGTTTTCTAGAAACACAAATTCCATTAACTGCTAATTTTGAACTTTCTGTATTTGATTATCCTTTCTTTCTGACGATTCAAAGGCGAGTTTTGAGCAGTGTAGAGTAGGGCTTGTTGTTTGTCATTTCTCCGATCACAAATGCAGACATGGTTTTATGTTTACGCGGCGCGATGCAAAGCAAAGCGTAAAAAGACAGTATAAGTCATTATAATCAGTAATTATGTCCCCACTGGACGCAACAAATGCCTCGTTTGTAATGGGTTTTAATGTTTTTGTCTCGTCGCTCCGGCCGGACACGGCATCAACAGTATGTGAGGGGCGTAACATTTCCATCTCACGCTTGAGGAATTCGGCTATTTTAAGCTCCTTGTGTAGCTGAATCTGTGCTGGTTTGAATTGGCCGCCTCCAGTTTTCCTTTTGTTTTGCCTCCAGCTAGCGCTAAAAGGGTCTATATATATAATATATATAATATGTTTAATATTAAATATAAATAAACACACATCTAGAAATATGTAGCAGTGTATGTGAGTGCTGTTAGCGTGTGTCGTACCCTCCATCGGCATCTCTGCGGTGTACGGTGCGTCTCCTGCGCTCAAGCTGCTCGTGGAGTTTCCCAGCAGGTCCGGCAGCAATGAAGAGACGGACGGAGCCGGCGGTTTCCTGCGCCACTTCAACACCGGCGTGAAATCAGTGGACACCGGAAACTCATCCTGCACACAATTCATCTCACATGAGACCCTGGGCCACAAAACCAACAATAAGGGTCTATTTTTCGAAATTGAGATTTATGCATCATCTGAAAGCTAAATAAATAATCTTTCCACTGATGTGTGGTTTGTTATGATCGGACAATATTTGGTTGCGATACAACTATTGAATCAACTATTGAAAATGATTTGAAAATCTGGAATCTGAGGGTGCAAAAAAATCAAAATATTGAGAAAATCATCTTTAAAGTTGTCCAAATGAAGTTCTTAGCAGTGCATATTACTAATCAAAAATTAAGTTTTGATATATTTACGGTAGGAAATTTACAAAATATCTTCATGGAACATGATCTTTACTTATTATCCTAATGATTTTTGGCATAAAAGAAAAATGTATAATTTTGACTCATACAATGTATTGTTGGCTATTTCTACAAATATACCTGTGCTACTTAAGACTGGTTTCGTGCTCCAGGGTCACATATGAGACCATAGTTTATCAGACACACCTATAAACAACAAAGCACAGCTGCGGTTTGTGCATGTAATGCTGTGTTTGTCGTACCATCGACAGAGAGCCAGGCTCCTCCAGGAACTGCTTCAGACTCAGACTCTTCTTCCCGTTCACCTGAAGGTGTGTGCAGATCCTCCTCAGCACGTCGTACACACTGTCCCGCGACAGCAGAGACACAAACACATACTGCCAACAAGAAACACACACTAATAAGTCACAAGTGGTCAGACATTAAAATGAAATGTGGAGACATCGTTTGATGATTATTAATACATATATTACAATTATATTAGGGATGTAACGGTATGAAAATTTCTTATCACGATTATAGTGACCAACATTATCACGGTTATCATTATTATCACGGTATTGTTAACATGTGCTGGAGATGTTAAAAAAGTACCGACACATAAATCACTTCACCAAGTTTTATATTTAAAATCAACAAACAACAAATAAAATGACTTTTTGTTTGCATGATCACTAAAACAATAACATTACCAATGATGTCCGGATTTTAAATGACAACATGACTGGCAACAGTTTAATAGCATGTTGAAATATCTAATGTAAATGTTCAAATAAAGCTTTGAAAAAGTTTCATAAAAAGGTAAACCTCACATTTCAGCCTTTAAATAAAGAAAAGATATAAGTCAAAATGATAATTGATTAATAAATGATTATATGTATTTTATCTGCTCCATGAATAATTCTAGATAACTTATCTGAATTGTTTAAATGTGTAGAATCCACATAAGCTTGTTTTTCATCAACCGGTCAAAGTTTACAGCAGGGCATGCAAATTCGGTCCGTTTTTGGCCAGACAGAAACTGCACACAGGCTGAATGTAAGTATAAGTCTCTGTAAATCCACTCGCTGACAGCAGGTGGCGCTTATGGAAAAGCTGAATTAGAGCTGTTTCCCGTAACCTCCGTGGACAAAGCAGTATTGCTGATTAAGAACACTTCCTTTAGGTATTACATGGAGCGAAGATGAAAACAAAATGCCATCGAATCGTTTCTGAAGACAGTCAGAACCTTCAGATGTACATTCATATAATGAATTCATTCATATATTCATTTGTATAATTCTTTTAAAACCTCCCAGCTTTTCCGCCCTGTTTTCACTCAAAACGAA